TTGCCAGGCTGTCCTCATAGGAGAGGTGCTCTAGCCCTCTGATCATCTTTGTGGCCCTCCTCTCGACTTGCTCCAACATGTCTGTGACCATTTTATGTTGGGGGCCCCAGAGCTGAATGGGGTGGGGTCTCATGACCCCAGAACTCCAAGTGAGGTCTCATGAAAGTGGAGTACAGGGGGAAAATCCCCTCCCTTGACCTGCTGGTCATGCTTCTTTTGATGCAGCCCAGGATATGGATGGCTTTCTGGGCTGCAGGTACACTTTGCTGGGTCATGTTGAGCTCATCAAGCAACACCACCTTCTCCTCAGGGCTGCTCTCAATCTGTTCTCTGCCTAGCCTGTATTTGTGCTTGGGGTTGCCCTAGCCCATGTGCAGGACCTTGCAATTGGCCTTGTTGAACTTCATGAGGTTTGAATGGGCCCACCTCTCAAGCCTGTCAGGGTCCTTCTGGATGGCATCCCTTCCCTCCAGTTTGCTGATGACACCAGGCTGTGTGGTGTGGTCAACACACTTGGTGAGGGTGCGCTCAAATCCCACTGTCCATGTTGCTGACAAAGATGTTGAACAGCACCAGTCCCAATACCGATGCTTGAGTGTCACTGGTCTCCACTTGGACATCGAACCATTCACCGCAACTCTTTGAGTGTGACCATCCAGCCAATTCCTTATCTACTGGGTGGTCCATCTGTCAAATCCGTGTGTCTCCAATTTAGAGACAAGGGTGTCATGCAGGAGAGTGTCAAATGCTTTGCACCAGTGCAGGTATATGATGTCAGTTGCTCTTATCCACCAATGCTGTAACCCCATTATAGAAGGCCACCAAATTTGTCAGGCATGATTTGACCTTAGTGAAGTCATACTGGCTGTTGCCAGTCACCTCATTTTCCACATTCCTTAGCATAGTTTCCAGGAGGATCTGCTCCATGATCTTGCGGGGCACAGAGGTGAGACTGACCAGCCTGTAGTTCCCCAGGTCTTCCTTTTTTCTCTTGGGGGTTATGTTTCCCTTTTTCCAGTCACTGGGAACTTCACCAGACTACCACTACTTCTCAAATATGATAGATAGTGGCTTAGCAACTTCATCCGCCAGTTCCCTCACAGGACCTGCGGATGTATCTCATCAGGTCCCAAGGACTTGTGCACCTTTACGTTCCTTAGGTGGTCTTGAACCTGATATTCTCCTACAGCGGGCAGTTGTTCATTCTCCCAGTCCCTGCCTTTTCCTTCTGTGACTTGGGTGGTGTGGCTAGAGTACTTGCCAGTGAAGACTAAGGCAAAAAAGTAATTGAATAGCTCAGTCTTCTCCATATCCTGGGTAACCAGGTCTTCCATTTCCTTTCAGAGAGGGCCCACATTTTCTCTAGTCTTTTATTTAAGCTCCTAACTCCCATCTGGGTAACAAAAATTGCCTTGAAAATATATGGGGAGTTGGAAATCAAATACATATTTTTGAGAAACTCAGCCCTGTTGAGTCACTTAGAAGAATTGTAGTTCTGCCGTTAAAGAATTTAGAATTGCTCTTAGGAATTCTCTTACTGGAGCTGGTACAAGAAAATAAACTTCTGGTGAAAGCTCATAGAGAGGCTGTGTGCCTGTTCTTCACATCCTTTCCATCTCGCCAGTTTCTTTTGTTAAATTCCTCCTCATGGTTGCGTGTTGTCACTGTTACACAGCGCTTAAATATGGTGTTTAGAAAAATAATCCAGGCTTTCACAGTGGAATAGAACTCCTTGTACACCTACAGAGGAGTACAGCTTTTATTTAGAAAACTCTGTCACAAATCTTAGTTTGGGGTGTAGTCAGAGAGATGAAAATAATAAACCAAGAGGGATTCTGTAGTATCTAATTGAGGGCAACAAAAAAGCTAGTAACGTTTTGCCTGCAGTTGAAGTGGGTCAACAAAGAACAAAGGGGTGGGTGGACAGGTGGGATTAGCACAAAGCAAATAAGGTTTTAAAAGCTTGCTTGACTCTTACCATTCATATTAAAAGATGTGTTCCTCCGGAAGTTGCCACTAACCTGCCAGTGGGGACTGTAGAAGTCACTACTGGTTGGCTCTGTTTAGTCTTTAACCCTATCACCCCAGTATTAGTCTTCATTGCTGGTGTCTTAGCAGATACGCAGAGTAACAAGGTGGATGACAGAAAACCATGGTTTTACCAAGTAGTAAAAGCAATTGGGGATGGACCTGATGAACATAGTGTATGGGTTCTGAGGAATAGTACACAGTTAAGCGTGGTATTTCAAGTGGCCAAAACTCTGTACAGTGCTGTGTTCCTCAGAGTCTGCATCAAATCAATGTCTCTTTATGTTCTTTAGGAGCAGTGTTGCTAAGAATGACTGCGGAAGAAATGTGATCCCCATGGATTTCAGTTACACAGGTGTCCCATGGCATGACACCACGTAAATCTGTTGCTGTTTATGCTTTTGCTCAGTTCCACCTCTTTATTTAAATATATGTGATGTATCACTTAAGTTTCCCCAAATGAATAATCTCCTTATTGAAATTATGTGAATCACAGAATCGCAGAATGGCAAGGTTTGGAAGGGACCTTGGGAGATCATCTAGTCTAAGCCCCCTACTAAAGCAGGTTCATCTAGAGCAGGTCACACAGGACATCATCCAGGCAGGCTTTGAATATCTCCAGAGAAGGAAACTCCACAGCCCGCCGGGCAGCCTATTCCAGTACTCTTATCACTCTCGAAGTAAAGAAGTTCTTCTGCATATTGAACTGAAACCTCTTATGTTTCAGTTTGTACCCATTGCCCCTTGTCCTGTCGCTGGGCACCACTGAGAAGAGTCTGGCTCTGTCCTTGTGACACCCACCCTTGAGATATTTGTATGTGTTGATGAGATCCCCTCTCAGTTTTCTCCAGGCTAAACAAGCCCAGTTCTCTCAGCTTTTCCTCATAGGGGAGATGCTCTCAGTCCCCTAATCATCTTTGTTGCCCTCCTCTGGATCCTCACTAGGAGTTCCTCATCTTTCTTGAACCGGGGAGCCCAGAACTGGACACAGTACTCCAGGTGGGGTCCCACCAGGGCAGAGTAGAGGGAAGAGAGAACAGTCTTGAATATTCAAAGACCTTCCCTTCAAAAAGAAAAAAAGTAAATCTTAAAAAAGCTTACGGTATATCTGGGGCTTTTTACAATATCGTGGGTAGGGTGAGGAGGTTTACAGTATTAATTCACCTTCCTTCACAGCTAAATGTTCCTCCTAGTCTTGTCTTTCCTGTTTACTCCCACGACTGGGTAGGACACCTGGATGATTGTGCCCCCACCCCCTTTTTGTTTCAAAGGGAAGGGTGATGCCTGCCTTACCATGCCAAGGGAGCTGTGTCTCTGCTTAATGCTCATGCTGTGGGGACTTAACTGCTACCTTCTCCTCCTCGCACTGCTGCTTCTCAGAAAAACATCTTGAGAATTGCATTTCACAACAAATGAAACATGCTTATGAGAAGTAAGCTGGGAATATGTTGGGATTTTTCTTTTGTGAAACATTTCCTTGCAAATAAGAAGTGTTCTTCAGTGAGGAGAAAATGAGCATGTGATTGCTTATATTCTTGTAGTCTATAAGACAGACAATAGCTTTTCCAGTTCTTTTTACAGTAAAGGAACATTTTTTTTTTTTAATCTTCAGATAAAAATTGGATTAAATCAATCCAAAACAGTGATGCAGGATGCCCACAGAAACCTTACCTTGCAGTAGAACTAAGGTGACTAGGGTATTTAACATAGTCCTTATTGCTATACAAGAAGTTATTATGCCTTTTTTTTTTCTTAAAGCACTATGGATAAGTTTTGAAACTAGAGGAATGTGGGAAGGCTCTTCGTTGCAAGATGAAAGCAGAAAACCCTTAGCTCTAAATTACCATGCAGCAAAGAAAGTAGTGGAGCTGGTTTGGCAAGTTTGGCAGTATAATTGGATATTATTTTGCTGTTAATATTAAGCCTAAACATAAGAATTAATCTTCCAGGGTTCTGCAAGGGAATATAGAAATTATGCAAATGGGACGCTGTGGTGATAATTAAAACAGAATTCAGCCTTGGAGCCAATATGTAAACTGTGCGAGTGTCTTGCAGAAACTGTCCCCTCTTTGTACCTTAATCACTCTGTTCTAATGTAGGAGGCTTAAATGATCATCAGGATGTATTTAACCATATCTTTTTTACAGGAGGTGGTAGAATTGTCCCTTAAATTCTCCATGCTTTTTAAGAATCTTTACTTTGCAATTCTTTGTACAGTCAGAGTAAATTGTTTGTGATCTGTGGAGTGATCAAAGATGTGGAAAACAAGGATTTAGCAGTTACTTTGTCTATTTCAAGATTTGTTTTTTAAATATTTATGTAATTAGGTGTGCAAACAAATGCTTAGTGTATTTATTTAGTCATCTTTTTCACTGAAATCAGAGAATTTATTTCCATATACCCTTTGCTAGATAAAGATCTGTATAAACTTGAGTTGTCTTACCACATTTTGTGTCTGCTTAAATTGCTGCAGGAGAAGATGCATGGGATACTGTATTTACCTTCTTCAGAATCCTGTTGCTCACATAATTGAATAGATTGTTTCAAAATTTGCCTTTGAATTGAGAGCAGTCTAAAAGGGAACTTCCGTAAAAATACTGACTTCTGGGTTTAAAGGAATGTGACTGCATTGGTTGTAGATAAAACGTTATGGCAGCTATACCAGAAATATGGGCAATAGTCTTGGTCTGAGACTCAGTAGTGAAAGTGGCCTGCTGTCTTTTTCCAATAGGTTTCCTCAGAATCATTGAGAATCTCTTCATCAGTATTCAGGCACTCTGTGGTGAGCCACAAAAGAGAAACATTAAACCAATTAAGGAAGAGCTTACAGAAATATAGCTGGCATTATTTGGTACATCTTCTAATACGGAAATACTTTTGTAGAACTATGACTAGTAGTTTGGGGGCAGGGGAGGGTTGTACGTTTGTTTCTTTAAAAATACATCATTTTTCCTCTCTGAATTTTTTCTTAGACCTTAGTAATGTAATGAATTCCACTCCAAATATAAAGGCTGTGAATGGAAAAGCTGAAAGTAGTGATAGTGGAGCAGAATCAGAAGAAGAAGGGCTTCGTGAAGAGGAGGAAAAAGAAGTGCAGCTAAATGGCAAAGGTATGTTTTCTGCACTTGGACTATTGTCTCTTCCAAAGTTACTCTTAACCGCCTAAGTGGAAGAAAATCCCATAGGACCGTGAATGCTGTACTTTTTCAGGATAACTAGATGCAAATGCACGTGAATGTATGTGTGAAGAATGGCAGTGTCTCCGTCTGGGTTATAAGATTTAGAAGTAGTACAAATTTGTGAGCTATGCCCTGCAATTTTTTAGTCGGCTAGGAAGTTCTGTTGGTAGGCTAGCTAAGTCTATATCCTGTATTGTTTTGGTTTTTGTTGCTAGTGCTCTTTGTAATACAGAGCTGTGAATGGCTACGTGGACTCTAACAGTAGAACTAAAAATCACTTTTTTTCTTCTTCACAGAAAATAAAACAGAACTTTCAGTGAGATTTGCTTAGGGGATCCATAAAGAGTTTTGACAAATACCAGCATCAAGTGAAAAACAAATGAAATTACATATGTAGAGTTCTATACAGTGGTTTTTTTTCCTCCAAGGACATTAGAATAATTATTTATCAGAGAGACCTGCTTTGGATTTGCTTACTTGTATTTAAATATGATCTGCTCTTCATGCAAATTAAATTTTATATTTACACTTTTCCCAAGAACAGAACAATCCCTGTGAATGTGAATCTAGGAGCACTTACATATTTTGTTCTGCAGATACATTGTATTTACAGTCCATTAGAAAATTAGCCACTTGAAGAAATAAATCTTGAGCTATTAGATGTGTAGCTTTTGATTTGCAAGGTTTCCTTGTTCTTTTACAGACTATAAGAATGTAAAACCAGAATCAGCAGCTGCTAAGGATTTAGAAAGTATTGTTTCTAATGGCTGTTACAAGAACAGCTTTATCCCAGATATGCAGAATGGCATCCAGACTAAATCTGCCCTGAATGGCTTGAACCCAGAGGAAGAAATAAAGAAAACGGAGCCAAGCCTAGAAATAGCTAATAACAGTGCACACCAAGGTATTGTTCTTGCAAGACCATATTTTCATTTGCACATGTTTTTCTTGGAAAATACTTATTTTCTTGAAAGCTTAATCCTGGGATTCAGAGAATAGCAATGCTGTCTTTCAGTTGTAGGAAGCTGAAGAAAAAATACTCCCCAAAAATGAAATCTAATGCTGGTTTAAAATAAGGCTTTCTTTCAGGATCTTTTACAGAAAAAGACATTAATTCAGAGACAGAAAGTCCCAAAACCACAGAAATAAATTGTTTTCTTTTAAAATCATTATACTACCTATGCAAATACTGTTTGCCTTTGAAAGCTAATTGTAGTGAAATTAAAATTACTAATACCTTATTTGTCTTTCGCAAAGGCTGAACATACTATAAATGCCAGTTTGTTGAAACTGATGTCTAAATATATAACTTTAAAACTAACATGACTTTAGGCAGAACTGCTTTATACTGAGTTTAGGAAGACGAGTGGGATGAACAAGGTAAAATTAAAATTATCAACTTATAATGCAGAAATGCCAATATGATTTATAGTCTTCCAATTGGTAAAAGTTTTGAACAATTCATATATTAATATAACCTCCTTATTCAGAATCTAACTTTAGGATGACAATCATAGATAAAAGGGGCATGAGTTGAAGCTCACCTAGACATTTTAACTCATTGCTTTGCTCTTTGCCAGGATTGGCACACATTTACAAAGCATGTGTTCATCTCTCCTTTCCATACAGGTGCAAATGAAGAGAACATTGAAGAGGTCTCAGCAGCTCAGCACTTAACCAGTGATTCAGACAGTGAAGTTTATTGTGACTCTATGGAGCAACTTGGACTAGAAGAGGTAGGGGCTTAGTATTCCTAGGTGTATTTTGAAACTGTTACGCTTATTTTTAAATAGGTTTCTATCTGTCAGGTGAACCTGAGCTTGCAGATGTGAATGAAGTAACTCATGCATACCTTTCTCCTGCTTGGACTATAGTTTTTTTGTTCTTTTTATTGTCAGTCTTCTACAACTTGGTTATTACTGATCTAAAAGCTTTGAAATTTTTGCCCTGTGGAGAATTTATGTTAGGGGAAGGTATCAAAAACAACAGTACAAAGAAACTAAGGGCTATGTCCACAAATGAATTTAGGGTCTCCCTAACACATGTAGGGACCAGAATCCAGCTGTCTCTAAGAAGCAGGGAGTGTGTTTGTAACAGTAAGTTTTTTGCATGCTCTTTTTCTGGCCTGATGAATCCTGCATTTGTTTCTTAAAATAAATAAAGTGTAAGCCTTAGCAGGTGGCCTGTGGACCAGTGCCTGAAAGTGGCCTAGCTCTAAAGAAGCGGAAGTTGACAATGATGGGTTCTCTTGTACTCTTTTCAGCTGTAATGTACATCTCTGACTTCCATATAAAAGGTGGGCACCAACTGTGCTGGCTTAGTTTTGACTCAATTTCTGCTCCTGCTCATTGTCTTAACTGTAGTCTTAGTTGATTGGAGTTGAAGGAGGCTTGGACCTCCTTCAGAGGTCCAGCTTAAGCGTGGGCTTTGTAGATTGTACTCAAACGCCTAGCTTCCTGATTCTGGGGAGGAATATGTGAATGATGTGTGGGATCAGAAAGACACGTTAGCACTCATTCTCTTGCCTAGTGATTTTCTGAGGATCTAGGGAATTCCTTTTAGCAAATCAAAATTTTACCCAGTAATGAAACGCGTTGGGAAAGGTGATTTGGTAGAAGTGCTGCAAGCTCTCTTATCTAGGTGATTTCCCAATCATCTTGTGTATCGTTCAAGCTTGTTTGAGATTCTTTAATTGAAGTGGGTGGATAATTTGTCAGAATTTCCCAACCTGCATGAGAAAAGTTCTAGTTCTGAAAAAAATAGCAAATGTTCAGGTATATGCAAATAAATATACGAGTAGTGCTACAGATGGATCGATTCAAACTAGAAGAGGTTAGTTTAAAGAATTCAATACAGCTTTTTATAGGAAAAGATGTAGCAAACGCTGTCCTGCAGTTCTGATGATACAGGTTTACGAACTGCTATTTGACAAATGGGATTTTGGCAGCAGTTTTCATTTCTTTGCCTAGTCTTTTGATTATTTTGGCTTTTTCGTGGAGTTATTTTTCAGCTATCTGAGGTCCCCTGTCTGCTTCAGTATATACTTGTGCAAGTGCTTGTCCTTGCACTGAACAAAGGGTTGCTTGAACCACCTTAAGGCAGTCCTGTTGCAGAGTGTGTAGTTGTGACCTGATCAACGTGTATGTCATCCATTTTTAACACCTTCCTCCAGTACCACCGATTTTTTTTTGAGAAGTTGATAGAATATGATGCCTTTCTTTTGTTTAGTGAGAGGCACAGGGTGCAGCCAAGCTGTTTTGAACAGGTTGATAATAAAGAATGCAATCTTTTTGCCACGAGTGTAAAGACTGCCTACTCAAGGTTGCTAATAGCACGTGACTTTTGACAGTGTGGCTCATGAATACAAGTTAGGATACGACTTCACTGTCTAAGAAGCAAAGCCAATTTTACAAGGGAAAACTGAACATTTTCAGATCTTGATGCTCTATTTTAGTGATTACCGAGTATTACTGTATGTTAGAAATGTCTAAAGTAATTCCAAGCAGTATCACAGTTTTGAGAATATTTGCCTCAAATGCCTTTTCAGTATGAAAAGGATATTTAGACAATAGTAAGCACGTTCTACAGGAAAACAACTGTTTCTGTTACAAGAAAAAGTCTTAATTCTGGGCAAATATTTTCTTAAAGTGGAAGTAGAGATGATGCTTCTTCCTTTTTATTGGTTAACTGTCACATTTTACAGAATTTAATTACTTGCTAATGTTAATTTGTAGCCCTTGGAGATCATCACATCAGCTAAAGGATCTTTAAAGCATTCATCCCATTTCTTGGATGTAGATCACAGTCTTCTGTTAGAAAATACGGATTTTCCAAGGCACGCTTGCATGACTTATAGCAATCTTCAACCTGGAAATACTGTAGAGGGAGAAGCTCAAGAACAGGGTGAAGTCAAATGTGGAGGAGAAGACGGTAAAGCCAGTAATGGGGGCCCTCACAAGGAGAAGAAAGGTGGAGAAAAAGCAGATTTCTACAGTATCAGAAGAGGGAGAGGTACTGTGCATGCTGCTTTTGTTTTACCCTCTCTCCTGACTGCCGTAAGTTACTGATGCCTGAGAAGTAGTTGTTAACATTGTACAGCAGGATAGTCATGCTATATAATGCTTCTGTCCTTTGCAATAAAAATAGATAACACAATCCTAATTACAGTGGGTAGCAATCACTTTTGTCTTCAGAGTACTTATTTAAGTCATAGATAAGTATTACAAAAGGATTTTCTTCTGCTATGGAGATCTTGCATAAGCATATTGGCTTCTTCTGTTTTGGCTTACCTTAAACTCCAGCTCTTGTTTATGGCACCTCTCTTTTTTGAAGTCTAATCTTCAAAACCTGTCTATGCATGAGAAGAGTTTCTTTACAAGTTACATATTTATTTTTAAATGCATATGCATTTATACCTTTATGGTATCTTATTTGAAGCCATGGAACATCTTGGAAAGGAATCAGTGACACATTATTTTCTATATAATTGGAGCATTAGCCACACCTTTGATTCTGATACTATCTATTATGATTCTTAAAACTTAATGATTCTTAATCACATAATAGTCTAGATGTTCAGTTTATGTTGGACCTCTGCTCTTTTTAATTCTGTAATACTTCTAATACTGTCACCTAGGAGCAGCACCATATGCCAGTATGATCTGTAAAGTCCAGGATAAAGTTTCTTTTTCTTGTACTAAAAAAAAAATTACCACAAAGTATTTTATTTATGTATGGCATGCCTTTTTGTATGGCATCTATATGTGATCTGATGCAAAAATTAAAAAGAAAACCCAAGTATAACATTAGTGTTGAAAACTACTATGAAGAACATATTATGGTTTAACCATTGCCCCTTCTCCTTTTGTTGCTTTACTTACCGTTGCTACTTATAGATGGAAGCATGCTAGGCTAGCTGTGTGTAGTTCAAAGGAATATTGTATGTTTCGGGCAGTTATCTTTTCTTATCATTCTATTTCAGTGTTCCTTGTTTTTCAGCTGGAGACTGTGCCAAACTTAAAACCCTTGATAATAAGGCAGATCTTACTTTCTTTTTGCTAGGGCAGAGTTTGCTGCTGAACTTGACTGGATAATTATAATTAATGGATAATTAATAGTAACAATCTATTAAAAATAACGTTTATATTTTATATGATATAATAATTATCCATTAGTTATAATTATTTTATTAATACTTTTTTGCTAAATGTTTGTGCAGTTCTAGGACCTTGAATGATACTGTCACACTGATGCTTTAGGGCAACATCTGAAACGATGCTGCAGTAACTTCCCAGTGCTTTTGAACTGTCTGGATATACCTTACGGCTCAGAGTACCACACTTAGTTCAGGAGGGAGAAAACTGGACTGTTAAAATCAAACGTTTTCAGTAGAGTTGGTAACCCATTCTGTGTTTTATGTATCTATTTTTTTTCTCTCTCAACATAGGGCATAGACTTCAGCCTCTAGGAGATGGTTCACAAGGTGGACAGATGGGTAGTGGAGGGGATGGAGAGCGCTGGGGATCAGACAGAGGGCCCAGGGGTAGCCTCAATGAACAGATTGCAGTAGTGCTGATGCGGTTGCAAGAAGACATGCAGAATGTCCTTCAGAGGTTGCATATGCTGGAGGCAGTTACAGCATCACAGGTATTATTCACTGAAGTTATTTGATTACTGTTTATTACATTTCCTGGGGTATTTTTATGCTTTTTCAGATCAAAATTTCAGACAATATTTTCTTAAACTGTAAAGACATTTCAGTGTTAATCTGTAGTTTATTCCAACTTAAAATTTCTTATTGGTACCTACTCACAGGAACACAATTCAGGACTCTTGTACATGTGAGCAACACCATGCATTTTGACCTAGAAATTAACCATATATTATTTTGCTGATTTCTGATCAGACTAATCTTAGCCGTAGTTGTTGATACACATTACATGGTTGCTATGTGGAGATTTCATAGTTAATGTTAGTAGTATGTGATCCTAGATAATTTCTTCATCAGTAGATCTCAAAGCATTTTTAAGGGAAGTGAGAAATTACCTTAATCTTCCAGACTGGTAGATATTTGCAGGCAGAACTTCTGATTCCATTTTTCAGTTAGCAGAAGACTGATTCTTCATAGCATTCTTTCCCTGCAAAGTAATCCAGCTTTCTTGGAATTTCACATCCTGTATACAAGACAGGCAAAAGAAGTCTTAAGCAAGTATAGATATTTACTGATGTAGTGTTTCTTTTTCTTTCTGTTTCAATGGAAATACTGTATATTTGGGAGAACAGAGTATGCTGTGAATATAGTTGAACCAACAACCTAAAAATGTTTTGTTTTGTTTGACTTGCTGATATATTTTGATCTACCTGAGAATGAGAGCACTGTACAAGCAGTATCCTATGGGATGCACTTACTCCAAATCTAAGGCAGCCAGGGAAAATTATTTATTAAAACCATGATTTCACTCAGTCACAGCTATTCAAGAATCTGATGTTTGGATACAGATTCATTTTCTTTTTTTTGCCTGAGCAATATATGAAGAAATAGTAAAAGATTCTTCCCCAGCAGTTCATGCTGTGCTTGCTACCCTTACCTAGAGAAAAAGAAGCTTCTGTTTCACACTTAGATAAATTAAGAAAGACGTAACAAACTGACTCCTTTATTTTTCTGGAAGCACCGCAATAGTGTATGGGAATAGTCTTAAAAAGTTTCTGCAGCTTCTCATTTTCTGGATTGCCTGGAAGATTTGGAACAGAGTATTCTCTTTCCTTTATGCTGTTCGACATGCTTGTAGCTATAGATCAGGGCAGACTAAACCAGTGCTTTTTGCCTTTGTATAAACTTGTGTCGAAACATGTAATCATGCAAATTAGGCTGCTGGGATTTCTGCTCTGGGTTGCAGCTGCTGGGGACTGGACCAGAGTTGAGAAAGTTGCAATGACAAGTTGGGCAGGGGGCCTTGAAAAACTGTAAAGAGGTCCACTAAGTGACACCAATTCATTTTTTAACACACAGAGATGTGATAAAAATGCTATAAAGAGCAATGGAAACAGGAGAGGCAAGTTGGAAACTTAAGTGGTGAAAGGGAGCTTCCATGGGGGTGGTTCTGCTCCTTAAACTGTCACATATACAGATTGCAAAGCCTTCACAAGATGAAAAACTTAGTATTCTCATTTTGAGAAGCAGAAAAATTTTAATTGCCATTTCATTTTTTATACTTACCAGCCTTTGTTTGTATTTAAAGGCAAAATCTGCAACACTGCAGTCAAATTATCAGCCCGCCTCCCCTGTCAAGGTAAAATACTGTTTTTTTTCTATTTGTAAAAAGCAGTGTGAATGGTGAAAAAAAGATGAGATGAGTATTTTACATCTAGCTCTCAGTATGTGCTTTTTATATTGTCTCTCCCTTGCCTAGGATATAAAAAATAATCTGTGTCTGAAGAAATTATTTGATAGATTAATCTTTTTTTTCTGGTCTTACTAGTATTTCTACTTTGATACTGTACATTTGAAGTGATTGAGAAGTATACATGTGGTATTCAATATGTGCACACAGATTGCTGACTAGATTTTTTTCTGTTTTTCTTAGAAACCATCGTGGTGGCCCTTTGAAATTTCTCCTGGTGTTTTAGCTTTTGCTATTGTATGGCCATTTATTGCCCAGTGGTTGGTACATGTGTATCTTCAAAGAAAACGAAGGTAAAGATGTGCGTTCAGTAGGGCATGTATATTGCATTTCATCTGTTTAAACCAATACATAGTATATTGTGTTATTTGGAATATAAAATACTGTCTTCACGCGTAAGAGGAATGCAAAGGTGTGCTCTCAATAAGTCTTTGACAGTGTATCTGAAACGTCAGGTCAGTATCAAAATGGGGAGCTTGTGATAATTGCTTTGGTAAGTTTCCTTGAGTTCTTTGTTTCAAGAAAGGCCTTGCTTAATGTTCCATTGTATGTATTAGTGACCCATGGCTCTGAAGATGCCAGGCTAAAGCAGATTGTTCAGTAGAGTCCTTGCTGTGGTTATGATAGGGAAGGTAGGTGTTCCAGTCCCAAGAACTCAAGCCAAATGTGCAGCAAGAAATTCTGAAAGCTAGTAGGAGTGCTTTCCATTAGCTGGGAATTCTAGGAAGAGACATGTATAGTTTTCTCGCCTTGGAAGTTTCTCAGCGTAACAAAGCATTGGTTAATTTGACTTTATATGTGATATGCTTTTTATGTGGCAATTTAGGTTAAATCCATGAAGTGTGATGCAGGATAAAAAATTTCAGCGAGCATACACAAGTGGGTGAGGCTGGATAGCTTAGAAATGTCTCCATGGCATTATTTGACCCTCTCCCAATGTCTTCTTGAACTGTTTTCACTGGTTCTAGACTCCCTAGTCCCCTAGTGCCATGAGAAAATTTTTTCCTGTCAGATCCTTTGCAGGGTGCCATCTGTCACCTGTATCTTATTTAACATTTACTAGCACCTTACTATAATATTTTTGTAATGTCTACTTTGACTTCCTTCAGCTGAGGGACAGTTGTGCTCTCATCTTACCTCTTCTTAACTCTCTGCGCGTGGGAAGGTCAAGTGAATGTTCTCTAGTTGCTGTCTACTTACTTCAGCCTCACACCTGACTCTGTTAGCTTAGTATGCTCTTAATTTTTTTCCTCTCTTGTCAGTCTGCAGAGAGTCTGCATATGTGTAGACCTTACTAGAATTAGCTTAAATTGTTCTAGCTTTTTAACGTTTGACAGTTTTCATGGTATCATTTTCTCTCATACGGTAAATCATGGAAACACGGGATGGTTGAAGTTGAAAGGCACCTCTGGAGGTCATTTGGTCCAACCCCCTTGCTCAAGCAGGGACACCTGGAGCTGATTGCACAGGACTGTGTCCAGATGGCTTCTGAATATCTCCATGGAGGGAGACTCCACAACCTCTTAGGGCAACCTGTGCCGGTGTTCATTTCTCCTCACAGGAGAGATGCTGCAGTTCCTTAATCATCTTCATGGCCCTCTGTTGAACTCTCTCCAGTATGTCTGTGTCTCTGTTGGTATCCAGAACTGGACACAGCACTCCAGATATGGCCTTTCCAGTGCTGAGTAGAGGGGAAGGATCACCTCCCTTGACCTGCTGGGAGGGATAATGTAGCCTGCAATACCATCGGCCTTCTCTGCTGCGAGGGTACATTGCTGGCTCATGTTCAACTTTGTGTCCACCGGGACCCCCAGGTCCTTTTCTGCCAAGCTGCTTCCCAGCTGGGCAGGCCCCAGCATGTACTGGTGCCTGGGCTTGTTCCTCCCCAGGTGCTGGGCTTGGCAGTTCCCCTTGTTACACTTCATGAGGTTCCTGTCAGCCCATTTCTCCATCCTGTTGAGGTCCGTCTGGATGGCAACACCACCCTCTGGCATATCAACCACTCCTCCCAGTTTTGTGTCATCTGCAGATTTGCTGAGAGCGCACTCTGCTCCATCATCCAGATTATTAATAAAGATGTTAAAGAGGGCTGGGCCCAGTGCCGACCCCTGGCAGACACTGCTAATTACTGGCCTCCAACTAGACTTCTGTTGCTGATCACCACCCCCTGGGCCCAGCCCACAGAGTTGTAAACAATGCAATGCCCACAAAGGCTACAGGTCTGCCACCCTGTCTCTGAGCTGTCATTACCAGCATTGATGTTACTTACACTGTCTGATGAAACCAGAGATTTCACTACTAAGGCTTTTAGGCAGTTACACCCATTTCCCTTATTTTCTGCCCTGCTAAATGGAGATTTCCATTTCATCAGCAAGGACAAAGCTTTTTAAAATCAATACAATTTTTTTAGTATTTTATGTGAAGCTCCCATTAACTTTAGTGTTGTTTAGCTAGTAGCTGTCGAATGGCCATGTTGCTCTTGTAAACCTTTTCTGATCATCTGTTCTGACCTCTGTAGCACCCTCAATCAATTCACAGGTTCAGTCAGAAATCAGTTTTTAGAAAAGCACCCTTTCCAGCAATTTTTCTAATACATTGTTCTAATGATTCAGAGCTTAAATGAATAAACAAAAGGTACATAATTTTTAGCTTGGATTTGTCTAGTTTCAGCTTTCATCCATTGGATTTTCTTTGATGGTTATCTACTTGACAAAGAGCCTGTGGTTTGTTTTTCCGTGGGTATTTTACTGCTATCACCAGGTCATCTCAATCTCTTGCTTAAACGAAACAGATGGAGCAACTGGAATCTCACTTTAAAGTTGTTTTCCAGTCTTGGGATGATTCTGGTGGCTCTTTCCCAAAGGCTCTACGGTTTACCAACATTCTTTTTGAGTTCTGGACACCAGGATTTGTACCACAGTCTACTAATGGTAACACCAGTATCCCTGAGACACCAAGATGGCTAGGCCTTGTTTTGTTTACTCGTTCATGGATTGCATTAAGATGAGATGAACTTCAAGAACAGAAACAACGAAAGAAATTTCTGTGTTCTTCAGCTTTCCTCTTTGTTTCTGAAGAAATCTACCCATAGCCAGAATTTAAGGACTCTCTGCTGCTGCATTGCCTTTCCATCCGGAGTTCCATCTCCTTTAGCCAGGGGTAGGAAGCTGATCAAGTACACTCAGAGAGAACATGGAATTGCGAAATGAGTCCTTCTCTGTTGTCCCATTGCCAGTTTCAGCTTGTACTCTGCTAAGGTGTGTAAGCTTTTAAGCAACAGCTGTACACAGTGCATATGTTGACCATATCTATGTGCTTTTGGGTTTAAAATACATAAACTGTCCTGGAGCAGAAAGCAGGAGTCTGTGCTACCATGTGAGATTTTCTCATCGTGGAGCTGTGACTCCTGAACTCTGTTGCACAGTGGAGCAAATTCCATTGAACTGGTGGAGAGGCGCGGACTTCTGTAGCCAGCGGCTTTGTGTTGGGCTCATGTCCCTGGGAAGGGGTAGCTCAGCTCGCTCTTAGCACCCTACTGTGTGGTGTTCTGGCTGGGTTGGGTCTTCTTCTGAGCCTCTCAACCCATCTCATTCCTCTGTAGGGAACTTAATGCTGAAAGTTTGGTTATTGCAGCCTTCACTGAAGAAAGCTTGAAAACCTGAATCCTAAGGGCTTTAAAACCAGATCACAGATAAAAATGTATTTTTAATAATAAGTGAGAGTTGTTTAGATTCAGCTTACAATTTTAGGATGTTCTGATTGTGTATTTTCTGGAGTCATTGGAAAACCAGCTCGTAAGTGTTGCTCTGCTCTGAGCCAGCAAACCACTGACTGATGCGGTCAGGGACTGTTCTGAGGAATTTCATCTGCCACCCAGAATTCTTAGTGATAGTTTGTACTCCTTGGTGTAAGTTCTGCCAGTTCTGTAACTTGCAGATTGTTTTGTAACTTAGGGCAACTAGAAGCAGTGTTGCATTTTAATTGATCGGAAATCATTCACAGGTAACCTCAATTGATTTGTTTGTTTAGATGAATGAAAAATCATCTCATATGTCAAGGTACATTAAAGTAATTTGTTTGGTTCCTCTTCTAGAAAACTGGACTGAGAATTCATGGCTTTTTGCTTAAAGACTGCTACGAGAAGATGGCCCTGGAAAGCGAAGGAATTCTGAATTCTCATAGTATCTCAGTATCTGGGACGAGGTTCCTTCTGTTACAGTAATATTTTGTACTACCTTTGAGCTAAGCATTTAAGGACTAACATTATTGAAACTTGAATGATTCACAGCTCCTAGGTTACTAGTAATTCCATCCTCAAAACTGTATGAACATTAATTATTTTGGAATGTGCTTGTGGATGGGCCTTCAGTAATTACTGGTCTTGCTGATGTCAGATGACGAAGAGAATATAATCTTTGTAAAAGAATAATTGAAAAATATGTAAAACTGTCACTTCAATATAGAAATTTTACAGTAACATCCCTGCCTGTTTTTCCCCAGGGTTATATATTATCAGATGAAAGCACTAATGAAGTACAAATTCAATATATTGTAAGCTGTTGCAAAAAGACAGTAGTGCTCTGAGGAATTCAACTGGTTATTTCTGCTGCTAAAAAAGCGTGAGGTGAATTTCCATGTAAATTGGTCAGAAATGACGTTGACTCCTTCACTTATCCTTTAAGATTGTAAAGGAGATTTGGGAATTGAGATCTGTCTCAAAAGTTAGAGCCGTTAATAACAGAGGGACTGTCAAATGTGAGTTTGGAAGCAGTGTGTGGTACAAGGCATCCGTCTAAAGAGGCTGCACCTTATGTTTTAATTTTGATAACTGTATTCTTGTTGACAACAGCTTGTTTTAACTGAAATGCATCATTTAGGCACAAGGTGCTTTAAAATGAGATGAAAGCTAGCTCTCTAAGTCTATCGCTAAGATTTTGAAAAGCTCAGTGCACTGTAAGTTTTCTGTTATCAGTTTAAGTCAAATTAAAATTTGATCTAGCCCATATCTGCTGTGGACTCTACCCAAGTCACATTACAAAAAATACCAGTTCTGGTTTTTCTTTCTCTCTTATCCTCCACTTCCTTTCAAAACAAAACTGTGCAGTCAGTTGTGATGCTGATTCTCTCGCCTCCCCCCCCCCCCCAAGTATTTATTAACAGAGTAACAACCCTGTGAAGTTTGCTTGATTAAAGCATACTTTACACTAAAATAAATTAATATATAAGTTGTCTAAATCTCTGGAAAAGGGAAATGCAATAAAAGTAGATTTGACAGAAAACGAAGACATTCATTTTCTGTTACAATATTACCTGTGTTTAAGATTTGAATCTTCAGAAATTTCACTGTATTATTGATGTGCTTTCATTCTCCTGGACTACATCGTATTATAAATAATTTTTGAGGAAAGTTTTGGCTTTCCTGAGAACCTTTTATAATTTGGAAAACATTTTTCATGTAATCTGTAATGTATAAAGATGTAATCACAGAATTTAACATTTTTTTGACCTGAGCAATTTTAATCTTGTTTTTAGTTAGAAAATGTTTGGGTTTTTTTTAAAGTTAGTTTTTCCCCTCTTCTGATTCTCTTATTGTAAAGCTGAATTAAAAAATAAAATGATCAGAACCTGTTTGAAGACTGCTGTAACCATCAGATGGTTTCATGTGCCAGAGGAGAGTTTTGGCATGAGGTGTACTGAACTCAGGTTTGAACAAAGCTTATGCTGGAAGCGAACTTCTGCTGTGACCTGAAGGCCTCAAGGCTGCAGCCTAAAGTTCCTGGAGCGATTGATGACTTCTCATGAAATGATTGATAGAAATGACTGTTGAGGAAGGATACTTGAGCGTGATGGTCACGTTGAAAGAAAAGCCTCCGGAAGCAGCACCCTGGGGTGCCTCTGCCCCAGTTCACACCCATGTCTAGCGTTAGAGATGGTGCAGACATTCTCAAAGGTACCTAACTGTTAACTTTCCACCAAAATACATGTAGGCATCTGCCATCCTTGTTATTTATTCATGTTTCAATAAATCAATCCCTTAATATTTTGTATTTTATCTTGAACTTTCTTAATATTTAGTAAATGCTGTACATTGGGTGCTGTGGCTGCACAGAAGAGCCTGCTGGCTACGCTGTGAAGCAGAAGGCTTAGGGTTGTAATACAGAACAGCATCACTTTTATAACCACTCACTGTAACTTGAACAGATTTTGAGTTAGCTGGTATTTCATCTTAAAGGTAAAGAAAGCTCATCTCTTTTGCAATTTGCCCATGTACAAAGAGACACAGCTTTAACTTGGAGGAGCTGGGGCAAGCAGATCACTGGAGCTCAGAACTGGGATACATTGTTCTAGCTGGTGCTCTCCTCAGGGGGGCTGGCAGTCAAACCAGAAGCCTCTAGACCCTGCTTAAAATTGCACTTTTGAAGCAAATGCCCAGCTCCTTTCCTGCAGTGAATCAAGCTTCATTGCAAAAGCATAGGTTTGCTCTGGATGAAACCAGATGGAAGATGTTCCACCTGCTAGAGGTGTTCAGGTGAGGGAACTAGAACAGAGCCAGGTATAAGCGTGCATGTGGGGCAGTGGCTCTGTCCCCAGGGCCCTGTTTCCCCCTGCTCTGATCCTGCAGCAGCACAGTAAGTGCTGGAAGAGATGGAGCTGCTCTGTCCTTGCCTCCTCCTGGTTACCACAGAGGAGCAGGCTTCTGCCAGAGCTACAGCCCCTTAAATGCACAAATGTAGCTTAGAATAAAGATGGCAGGAAGGTGTTAACAGGCTATGAACTGAAGGGCATGCACAGCTGTATGAGGAAGTATTTGGTATTTCCCCTACTTGTAATCACTGTCTTCCCCCTACCCCAGCAGGGCCAAAAGTATAAGACAGTTTAAAGACAAAAAAAAAATGCAGAAGCAAGAAACAGCAAGACTGCTCTGTTTTATTTTTATACATTTACAGAAAAGTGTGCAAAGTAAGTTTTTTGAGAATGTAGAGAGGAAAAGAATGCATTTTACTATAAGAGTTACCATAGGTAAACCTGATCACACTGAAACTGGAACCTCCTAGCTCAAGACCGCAGGGCAGCATCTCTCTATCTTGGCCTCCAAACATTGGGCAAGCCTAACAGCACGCTCAGGGTAGGAACAGTTGTCTAAGACCACTATTGCTGTGTAAGTGTGACAGTTACTGATCTTTCCAGTTTTTAGCACACTTCTGTCCAGCTAATAGCAGAAAAACACTGCAGCTTCCAGGTTACCTTGGGAGAGGGTGTAGGTTATGCACATAAAGAAAGTTTAGGTCTTCACAAAACACCATGTTGCAGGTAGAGTGCTTGCCAAGCGGTATTCCACAGAATCTTAAGGACAAGAAACTTTCCCCAGCTTACACAAATATTTGTAGTTGATTACTAATGAAAAGAAACTTTTAACTCTCTTTCAGCTACCACATTATAGCTTTTTGTACTTTTCCCTGTAATATTCCTAGTCAAGCAGTAAGTGGGGCAAAACCAATGGGATTAAGAGTTGACAAGGAATTCCATATGAAAGAATAAAGCTAGGCTTTATGTTTGTAACAACAGACACCCCCACACCACAACCCCCCCACCAAAACACCCACAACAGAACCACAGCACAAACCCCAACAATCACCTCATTAAATTCCAACTCCCTGTTTGTGATTATCAGGATGAGTGCAAGACATGGAAGGGAACGGGGTATTGCAAGGCTTCAGGCTCAACTCTAGAACTGTTACTTTCCGTAGACAGCAGTGTAGTGATAACTCTCTACATTAAATATTCCAATTAGTTGGCCTATTTATTGTTCTACAGAATTTATGGTTTTGTATTGCATTATAATGCTATGGTAGAAGAACCATCATTTTCTTTTAGAATAAGGTTTTTATAAGAAGGTTTGAGGTCTTTCTAAGAATGAAACAGTAAGTTAACAAGATTCTTTACGCCTGATGTTTGGTGTAGTCATCTCTAGCTCTGTATACAGTAGCATGAGATTACCTAAAAGGCTTTTAAGCAGTCCTGTAGCTCATTGTGATTGGTCAAGCAAAGTTTAGATCAGCACTTACTTGACCCTTGCAGCTGATTAAGAATTATTTCAAGGGGTTAGAGGTTATCTTCAAAATGCCATACCCCTGTAACTAATCATTTCTGCCTTGAAGGGAATGTAGTATCCTGGAAAATGGTTGTAACCATTTGTAAAACACTGAAGACAAAGAGCTGTGGTGGTGTTCAGTTTACATTATTTCCTAACACATTTTTAGAGTGTTTTCCTCAGTATGAAATGGAGATTCCTTCCTGTAAGACTAGTTTTCTTAAACCAGATTACCGGAAATGGGAGAAGAAATTGCACAAAATACCAATGATTACTTAAGGTAATCCTCCTCCCCCCGAGTTTATGCCTCTTAACTACACACAGGAAAAATGCTAAAGAACTTAGAATATTCAGAGAATGTTGTCTACAGATACTGCTCCAGTAATGCATTACATTTGATTGCTTGCACCTCTTTCATGTAACTTTAATTTCAGTAATATTAAAAAATTTAGAAGTTTTCTGAAACCGTAGTCCTTAGCAAAAGGAACAAGACTCACCGTATGTTTTGCAGCTTGCCAAGATGCTGTTTCACTACATTTGAGTTACCACACTAGAGCTGGGATTTGTCACTCTGAGTTGTTAAGAATTGGCTCTCTTTTGGTCCTACAAAACTTCCTTTATCTCCACCATTCCCACTCCTTTCCCAGCTACCTGAGGGGACAGCAGGAAGCCTAGCAGGCACTGTTTGCTCAGAATTCCATCAATAAATCTTGTCTTCCAGGAAGCCGGGCAATGAAGGGACAACTCACTCCCCCTGCTGGGGCTTGACGTTCATGAGACTTGAAAGCCACTTGGCAAAAATCACTAGCAAAATGCTCAGCTTCTGGCATGTGGCCACCTGCTGGCACCACCACCTAGCACAATTATCTTTGTCTAGCAAGTACAAACCTGAAAAATAAAAATTTTCAGTAAGTCAGCTGAGAAAGATACCTAGGCAAGAAAAATAGTGAATATAATTTAGACAAAATTACGAACAAATAAACCTCTAAAACCTAGCAGATGCAAGCTGTGTGTTGCATTTGAACATAGATTTAAATATACTACCCCCTAATTAGGATTTATAATACCAAATATACACTTGTAACTTAAGTTCTAATGAAATCAAAGATCTGGTTGTGGTTTTACAGAACAACAGTCTTAATTTTCAATGCATTATAGTCTTTAATAGAGATATATACATAGCAGCTTCAGTTTGAACAATACCTCACTTGTTAGCCAACAGGGGATTTTTTTGTTTTCCATCATCTGACATGAGCGAGCACAAACACATATACTCAGCATTTTCTTTTTTAAAAAAGTAATTGCTAAAATGTATGCTGTTCGGTCCATCCTCCTACAGCGTAAGTGGTTACAACACAATGATTTAAGCAGACATGCCCCAAGTATCCTCTCCCTACCCCACTTGCCTAGGAAAGGGTAATAACCAGCCGAACTACTGCCAGTCTCACGTGCCACATCTCGCTGAGTTAACTTGGAACACCACCGCCTCTTTTAACCCTTCTTGGGGTAAGATAAGCAGAAGTAAGACGTTTCAATGCTACATTAAGATTTCAATTTTCTACCTCAAATAAAAACATCAGTTTTGCACAGTGGACAAATATTCAGACTGGTCAGAAAGGACTACTGCAACAAGACCGCCAGCACACCGAGCCACCGATAGGTAAGTTATAATTAGATACAAGTAGCATGCATTTATATCTTCTCCCTAGTATGTTTAACTGGGAAATAACTTCACACCTCCTAACCAGAGTTACTCATTGCTATTAAAAAAAGCCCCGTCGTTGCCAAGTGTTACTAGCTCCAAGAAATACAACACTCTGGCCTCTTAGTAAGGTGCGGTGAGTGAGATAAAAGTAGCATGAAGGCACTTGATACCAGCTAAGTTTCATTCAAGTAGTTTCAGTGTAGAATAAGGGATACAATAATAAAAACAGACTGATAACTTAAAACACACTCTAAATTTGGCAAGGAAACTTAATTAAGACCAAACTAGTGTTATAGGACAACCTGTAAGTGTGCAAAGACTTGGAGAAAGTTCACTTATCTTGATGCTATAAGCTAAATCCAGACACAGTGAGGTGCTGAGCGTTATTCCTAGCTTCAAAGTAAGAGGTATCAGTTTCATCATCCGGCTGCGGTATAAACGGCATAGTTTGATTCTGTAGATTATCCCAGTCCACACCATGAAAGAGGGGGTGATGTTTCAGTTCTGAAACAGAAGCCCATAAGTGTTAGAAACTTACTTTTGTCCAAGGCCCACAGTCAGTTTGTTCCCTTGAGAAACAGAAAGGGAGAGCGTGTGAATTGGAGCCGTGTGTGTGTGTGTGTGTGTGAGGTGGTAGTGATGGAAACTCAGTTACAATGAAGAAATTGTAATGGTTGTCTTGAAAGCTACTCATCCAACTTCACTTCAGTTGCCTATAAATTGGCTGGAGAGATCAGATGCAGTTAAAGGTCCCGACAAA